GCTTGCTGAGTAGAAGGCCGCAGGAAGACCAACACTGAAGAAAGTGACTTGTGTGGGGCAAACAAATAAAATCTCCACATAAAGAAGAATTTCATAAAATCAGGCTTGAAATTACATCATGAATTCTTCAAACAGACCTTATAAGTACACAATTAACTGATGTTGTATTTATAGGTTTACTTCTGGTAACTTTTTCCCACAGAAATACAAAGAAAATGGTGTCGGAAAAATAATGTAGTTTACAATCTGTAGTGGTTCTGATTACTGCAGTGAATCAGTAAGCTCATCACTTGAAATCCTCATGTCTGGGCTCTGTCTGTGTATCCCTGCAAAGACATAAGCCTCTATTAACATTTGATAATATGTACGGTATGAATATGAAGGTGTGACTGTGTCCAGACTTTTCACTCTACAGTAAAGGCTCAGAGAGTTGTTAAAATCCTCAGAAAAATGTTTCAGTGAGAATGGAAGGCTTGACAAGAGGGGAACATCACAGCCTTGTTTCCCCCTGTCGTAGCACCTATGTAGTCACAGTATCACTTATGGGGACTGTCCATTTTGTCATCCAAGAGTGGAAAAAGCAGAAACATGAAAGCAGGAATCTCATGTCCGTGCCATTTTATGAACACCGGGTGAGTTTTGATAGTTCTGAGGAAAAACAAAAGCAGAATTGAACATGTTATAACAGGATGAAATTCTTAATTGTATCATTCTATTCATCTTAAAACATCAATATTCAGCAACCCATCCAAAACATTAACTTCAGGTCTTCTCATCAATTTCATGGGCGCAGGTATATAACCAAGCACTAAGACATGCAGACTGCTTCGACAAACATTTGTGAAAAAATGAGTCGCTCTCAGGTGCTCAATGTAACACTAAATATTCCACAGTTAACTGTTAGTGGTATTATAACAAAGTGGAAGTGATTGGGAAACAACTGCAACTCGGTTCGGTGAAGGGGGGGGATTATGGTGTTGGGTTGTTTTTCAGGAATTGGGCTCAGCCCCTTAGTTCCAGTGAAAGGAAACCTTAAAGCTTCAACATAAACAGACATTTTATAATGGACTGCATTTATATAGCGCTTTTCTAGGCACCCAAAGCGCTTTACATTCCACTATTCATTCACACACTGGTGCAGGCAAACTACAGTTGTAGCCACAGCTGCCCTGGGACAGACTGACAGAAGCATATTATGTACAGTACAGTAAAGTGTCTTGCCCAAAGACAGAGAGAGCTGGGGAATTGAACCGGCAACCTTCCAGCAACCTTCCAGTTACAGATGAGCTTCCCAACCCCCTGAACCACGGTCACCCCGTGGCATTTTAGACAATTTCATGCTCCCAACATTGTGGAAACAGTTTGAGGATGACCCCTTGCTGTTTCAACATGACTATACACAAAGCAAGGTCCATAAAGACATGGATGAACAAGTTTAATGTGGAAGGCTGACCTGCACAGAGTCCTGACCTCAATCTTACAAAACACCTCTGGGATGAATTGCTGGAGAGACTGCGAGCCAGGCTTTCTCATCCAACATCAGTGTCTGACCTCACAAATTGTGCAGGCTCATCAGGCCAGGCAGTGTTTTTCCAGTCTTCTGATGTCCAGTTTTGATGAGCCTGTGTAGTCTAATTTTTCCATTGTTTGCTGGCAGGAGTGACACCATCACTCCTGTGGCTGGTGTGCATTCAGAGATCTGCATACCTCTGTTGTAACAGGCCGTTGCCTTCCTATCAGTTTCTCCATTCTGATGTTTTCTTGAACTTCAGCAGGTTATGTTGCCCAACATATGTAAACACCACCATTGTGTTTCTGTTATTATTAGAAGATAATAAAATTCAAGTAATACAGTAAAACGCTAATAAGAACATCGCCACGTGAAAGTGGGGGTTTTGAAGTAAGCAGCACAGTGAATTGCAGCAGAGGTGCAGGTAGAGATCAGGAATTCGTATGCAGCACATAAAATCAGGAACTGCTGGGAATCTATGTTGAGCTTTAATTTCAGTTAGTTTTGCATGCCTGGCACCACCCAGGTAAGGTGGCGGCTTTCAAACGCAAATGAAAATACTGTAAGTTATAAAAATGCAAATGAGGTTGGGGGGCAGGGGGGGCGCCACACCGGCCGGGACTACCTGTGACCTTAGCCTCGCATATAATTGGATGAGGTTTCCATGTGACCAGGATCTTGCAGGTGATTGGAGGAACCTCGCGAAGAGCGTCTCTTATTACCATATGAGCATGTTATTCTCCGCCTGGTGAGAAGTTGTCAGGCTGGGTAGATTTAGGACACCGTGTGTTGGCGGCTTGGATTTTCCGTGCAATGCCGGGACGTCGTTTCTCTTCCATCGCTCCGGGAACTCCTCCGCACAGACCGGGGCTGACTCCGGACAGCAGAGACCACAAACTGCTCACTGCTGTGAGAGGGCTGTCTCGTCAGCTGGCTCGGTTTGCTGCTGATGTGAATGAGCAACTAACAGCGGTAAACGCAAAACTGCACTCCATAGACGAGAGGATGACCGCTTTAGAAGAAATAGTGAACTCCCGCGCTTGTGTGGAGGAGAAGAGGAAAAGACGGGCGCACAATCCCAAGATTGCGGTATGTATGTGTGCATGTACGCGGCGTGTGCGTTAAGGAGGCAGAGGAGAGCCGTACAAACACCCCGAGCAGGAGTGGCAGAGAGAAGCCACTGCTAACTGCTAAGCTCTAAACGACTAGCACATCTGACGAGCTGTGAACAGCTGGATGAGAGAGTTTGTTCATAAAGTCAGTTATGGTGTTTTATTTTGTAGGAAGCGGTGCGTCGTTTTCATAACGCCAAGGGAAATCGCAAGCGCTACAATCCCGAAGAAGGGTGAGATATGTCGTGTAATTTGTACAGGCTGTGTAATACATATATACATATATATATCTCTCAATGTGATCGCTGACGTGTAAACATCTGGATTTCGTAGACTGAGTTCGCCTCACAATGAGGCAGTCACGTCTCATTTGGTCCAAGCTCTGGCTGAAAGTCCGGATTTGCACAACGTGGCTAGAGATGCCATTCTATGTAAGCACTGTTTGTGCTTTACTCTTTTACTGTAGCTTTGTCTGTTTCCAGGTTTGTAACATGCTCTTTTAATGGTTCCAGCTGCCTGTAAAACATATTATGAGACCATACGCAGGAATTTCCGCTACAGCCAGCCGGACCTTGCAGCCCAGGCTGAAGCGATGAAGACTGCAGCCCGCAGCCGTCAGAGAAGGAAAAGGGTAAAGTTATCTGATGTGATTTAAACTCACTGACAGTACTGCTGCACTGTTTTTCAGTCACATTAGTGCACAAACTGTCACCACACAGAGGTTGCACATCCACAACTGTATGTACTTCCTCTGCTTACAGCTACTGGAAGCCAGGCAGGGAGTCCTCAGTGCAGATGAACTGGACTTCTGGAGGGGTGTAACAATTGATATGATGTCCGATGAGGAGGATGGGGCTGTTGAAGGGGTGGCTGGGTGGATTGTTAGGCCTCCTTCCTTTCGAAGCAAAGAACTCACTGATCTGTGTGCGACTCTTCAGGCTAGATTGGAAGCTAATCCAAAATACACATCTACACATCACAGACGTCTGCATATTGGACCGGATTCAGACAGAAATCCTCCAAACGCATACAATCCAGATGCAGCAAAGAAACATTTCAAAGAGCATCTTATCCCCCAGGTTGGGTGATGGTTTTATTAACTACTGAGTAGCACTCAAGCTTCCTTATAAGAATATAGATGAAAAATATTATAATCCAGTTTGTGTCTTGGTGTGTTTTTTATAGAGAGCTATGAATCATCACAACTTTGAGAACGACTGCATTAGTTACAAAACTGAAGAACTGTAAGTTTAAAAACAAAAGCATGAGACGCATTCTTCTGTTTAAATTGAATACCTGCTGTATGTTTAATGATGTATTTGCTTTGTGTTTTGACAGACTGAGCTCGCCCGATGACACAGACATGTCTCCTTTGGACGACGCTCTAGCTGAAAGTCCAGAACATCACCGCGTGGATAATGAGATCCTCCGTGTGACTGTGGCCTAATGAAATGAATTAAATCTCTGACTGAATGTCACCTCAAGTCAATCTCCACACTACCACTGACCTGTATACACGGGGGGGTTCTAAATGTATTTATACCAAACATTATATTTTATGTTGTACACTTTATCCTTGGTCTCTTATAACTGTCTCAGACTACATAAAGTTACTGACTGGTGAGATTAGGCTGTTATAAAATCATACAATCTTGGCTTTTCCAGTCAAGAGTTTTGATCAGTGGTTGCCAGTTTAGAGTTCTAGTCAGTGACTTAACCTTAATGATTTTGGGCCATCAAGGATATGTTGCTGACTAGAACAGCAGAGCTGAAATTAAAAGGAAATGCTCCTGAGTCTCTCTATCACAGTATGACATGAAGCTGATGTACAACAGTCCATTCTTTCCTTTTAGTGTGTCAATTTTTCCTCTCAGGAGATCATCAAGCCTCTGAGATACAGCAGTAGTTTTCTTTTATTATCACACAATTATCCATCCATTTTCTTAATCATTGTCACAGTTGACATAGGATGACAAGCCAATACATTACAAAGCTGCAGGAAATCACTCTCTTATCCAAACCTGCTGCCAGTTTGAAATTAACCCGACAAATATATTGTTGGGTTCTGGAAAGTCGTGAAGAAGAAGGATTTAACCAAGAACTCTGTGGCAATGTTCAGGCATCAACATGGTTCAATGGTGGTCACATCCTAGAGACCGCTGTGAGGACTGCTGTCTACATGTTGTAGCTGATTATGGTCATACATGACTGGCCTGTGGACTACTCTTGTTAGTGCTGTTATTGGTCGTTGCCAGCAGCAGAGAAGAGCAAAGTTAAAACACAGAAAGAGTGGAAGTGAAATAGTGTCCATTGTGTCTGTTCTTTTCATGCTTTATGTTTTTGATATGATGTCTCTCACGCTTCTCTCGTTTGTGGTGAACACCACTGTTCCAGCCCACTTTTCAACCAGTGAACGTTCAACCACATCGAGGGTCCATGGAGGACGGCACATATTCATGTTTGCAATAGTTGCATACCCCTTTCACTAGTCAAATACCTAAAAGCAATACCATAAAACAGGTTTTTAACTGCTGCACCACTGTGCCACTCCATGAAACACTTTGTGAGATAAAGTGAGTGACAGCACCTGCATCATGGTTTTAATTGCCTGTTGTTTTAAGTTTTATGCTTGCCTATTTATTCAAGCTGACTTTGCTCTTTATTGTGTTTTGTGCATGTGTGTTTGTGTGTGTATGAGATCATGTTGATGGTGCTATAAAAATATACTTTATTATTACTAACTGATCCAGTAGTTTCAGCTGTATTTGCATATTTGCACTTTCTGCTCACAGGAAACATAAATATATTGTCTTGGGTGTAACTACAGATTTACAGGCCTGAGGATGTCAGAAGTAAACCCACCAGTCCGTAGGTCTGGGAACATTATTGCCAAAAGCACTTGCTTGTCTGCCTTCATATGCACAATAGCTTGAGGGACATCCCATTCTTAAGCCATAGGGTTTAATATGATGTTGGCCCACCCTTTGCAACTCTTCTGGGAAAGCTTTCCACAAGGTCTAGGAGCGTGTTTATGGGAATTTTTGGCTATTCTTCCAGAAACACATTTGTGAGGTCAGACACTGATGTTGGACGAGAAGGCCTGGCTCACAGTCTCCGCTCTAATTCATCCCAGAGGTGTTCTGTCGGGTTGAGGTCAGGACTCTGTGCATGCCAGTCAAGTTCTTCCACACTAAACTCGCTCATCCATGTCTTTATGGACCTCACTTTGTGCACTGGTGCAGATTCATATTGGAACGGGAAGGGGCCATCCCCAACTGTTCCCAGAAAGCTGGGAGCATGAAATTGTCCAAAATGTCTCGGTATGCTGAAGCATTAAGGTTTCCTTTCACTGGAACTAAGAAATTGAGCCCAATTCCTGAAAAACAACCCAATGCCATAATCTTCTTTCCCCCAAAGAGAGTTGCTGTTGTTTCCCAATCACTTCCATATTGTTACAATATCACTAACAGCTGACTGTGGAATATTTAACAGAGAGGAAATTTCACAACTGGACTTGCCGCACAGGTGGAACCCTATCACAATAAAACATTGGAATTCACTGAGCTCCTGAGAGCGACTCATTCTTTCACAAATGTTTGTAGAAGTCTGCATGCCTCGGGGCTTGGTTTACACACCTGTGGCCATAAAAGTAGAATCATTGACACCTGAAGTCAATGATTTCTATCAGCAATATAGTGCAACTGCAATACAAATGTAAATCAGGAATGTGTAGTCCAGAGGCTTCTGACAAGTCTCTTTTGACACAGACTCGATGATTATGAAGGTGTTTACCTAAGCCTGTGTAACAGTGGATCAGTATTTATGACAAATCACAAGTGATTTTTCTTGGTGGCTTCTTACAGTGACAGAATGTGAGTCACTCCTTTTCAGATGCTAATTAGATGTGTTCACACTTCCAACCCCATCCCCTGCAAGTGATTCATTCTTGCACAAGTGAACATCACATGTTGCAAACAATTAAGATCGAAAGTGCCGGGACTGAAGGAGATTTGGCTGAGTGGATGGGGCTGCACAGACAGTTTTTATGCAGTGTCCGATGAAATGAAAAACAGCAGGACTCTTACCCTCATGGCTGAGGATATCCAGGGCAGAAATCGGGACACTCTTGTGTAGACACCAGGTTTCTTGGACATGGCACAGCCAGTTCCCCAGCTCACTACTCCTAGCAGACGATATCGAGTGGTCTTAGACAAGCAGTCTTCAGCCACAAAGGGTCCACCACTATCTCCCTAAAACAACAGACACACACTCACATTTTAACTACCCATGGGAAAATATAAGAGAAAATCACATGCATGACACTGATATAACATCAAACCAGTAAGTATGCCAATTTATATTCATGCCAGTAAAAGAAGGATTTATCAGACTAAACAAAAGTAGACAGAAATGCTGCATGAGCACAATCTTACCTGACAGGCATCAGTGCCTCCTTTCTCATAGCCAGCACAGAACATACTAGTAGTGATCTGGTTGTCGTAGTAGTCAGGAGCATTGCAGACGGCGTCACTGATGATGGGGACATTGGCTTCCTGTAGAACATCTGCTAGATGGCCTATAGTTTAGAATGAGCAAAATTTAAATATGAGCAACTGTGTTTTTACCTGAATATAAACAGTCACGTATGAATAGTTGTTATCTGCAGTTGTCACAACTTAGTCATGCTACTGAAACCTTTCCCATTAAATTTATGTTATTGTTATTTAGTGCACCGCAGTATTCATGCAAAATATGATAAGTTTAAATACAAAAACAACGACTGAATGCAAGAAGACGACGTTCTATAGAAATATTACCAAATTTATCAATAACTAATGTAACGTATACTCACCATAGTACCCTACATTTCCCCAGCCTGTCACTGTTCCCATCTGTCCATCTATCAGCCTTTGGCCATATGCAGGTAGGCAAACAGGCTGGATGTATTCTACACACAGAGACAAACATGAAACACAAACAAATATTTATTAAAAAATAAATGCATACATTTAATGAAAATAGCAGGCAGTTGATTTTGTCACATTTCATTAACTCGTGTCACCCCCTGAAGAAAGCCAGCCATTCCTACCTTCCCTCTTACTTGATTCCCCCAAACCCCTCAGCTGTTCCCCTTTCATTCATGCTTGCTTGTTGACATCACCCAAAGTGTTTCCATCTTTTCTTTTTTTGCAGTTCTAAATGTTGAACACTAGATGTCAGACATGATGTACTGGAATAACACTTCTAGTAAATGACAGTATCACAACAGTATCTGACGCACTTCATCTCCTATCTGCAGTCTTTCTCAATTAGAGTAATTAAAGTAATCAGTTCAGTGCCTATAAGGTATCGTCACATTAGATTTTTTTAAAAACCTGTGATTAATTATTTCATACTTCAGAATTTTCAGTGAGTTGTTTGATACTTTTTCCAGTATTTTATTCAGTATAAATACTGTTTATGCTCTGATATTTTTATTTATATATACACACACACACACACATACATACATATATATATATATATATATATATATATGTTTTTAAAATATGTCAAATATTCTGCACACAGTGCTTGTTTAAGTTTTAGTGTCACCCTAAAGCATCAGAAACAACCAACAGTTGCAATTTTTTTTATCCTGAAATAATTATGTTGGATCAAATTTAGGAGGTAAGTTACTGAAACCAGGCAGATTTTGATGATGTGCAAATGCGTCCTACCATTGAAAGTGAGAGGCTGAGTGAGGGCCAGGACAGCGATGTCTCTGCTGTTGTCGTCAATGTTAGCATCTACAAAGGGCAGGTAGCTGCTGTGGTAAACAATGGTCTTAACCTCCGCTACGTTGGCATTGACAGGTTTATTGTAGATGGAGCCCAACAGCACACGCCAGCGATTAACAAAGCGATATCGCCTAGCATTAGAAGAGCATAAATAGGAGAGCTGTGATGTGTTTTTTATGCACACAAACATCTAAATTTCCATGCAAACACTACGTTAAACAAAACAGCAGGCAGAGCAGTCTGATGATTGTCCCTATGTGGCGAGGGCAAAATACACACACAGCTATGTTGAAAATGAACTTTTCATAGAAGTAAAATTACAGTTTCATTCAAACTGTCTGTACAAATTTATTAAACTTTCATGTATGCCTTGGATTTTCCAAAAAGCTACAATAATCCATCAAGCTGTTGTTTCTGTGTTAAATCTATCTGTTTCACTTACTCTGGGAAGCAATGAGCTGCAGAAACAATCCAGCGGTCTGAGATAATGGATCCTCCACACTGATGAACACCATCGTACTGCAAACTGACTTGCCAAGGCCAGCTGCCGTGCCTGGCGTCCACACCACCCACTATACGGTCTGCCGCAAAACTACGTCTGCCGCAGTCTGGTTTAAGATAGTAACAGTGAGGAAAAAGACCAGTTACTTTTTAAACTCTAGTTGAAAGACTGATATATTATGGACAAGAAATCAATGAGAATAGCACCATTTAAAAAAGTAAACACAGCAGACAATAGCTTAATAAATACATGTGAGATTAGTAGAAAGAAGACAAGAACAGACCGTGTCTGGGAGCTCTACACACCGGGGTGAAAACAGTGTTGGTGTTGGGTGTCGGTGTATAAAGTGGGCCAGTGTGTCAGACAGAATGAGTGGAGATCTGCGATCTTACCTTGGCACAACAGTGTGAGAACTTCCCGGCTTTCACAGTCACTGAAACAAAGACGGACAAAGTTAGTAACAGCCTGACACAGAAAACATCCAAAAACTGAAGCCAGTGTTCGGCTGTCCTCTATGTTAACAGAGAAGACGAGTGAAAGAAGAGACAGGAAGAGCAACAGAGAGGACAGTGTAGTAGAAGGGCAGACCGCTGAGAGACAGCCACTCAGGTGTATGCGTTACCATGGATACAATGAGTCTTTGATTTTCTTGCCATAGCTGAGCTCTTCCTGTCTGACGCAGAAGAAGTCTCCAGCATCGCCGCTGGCCTCTGACACAGCTGTGACTGAGTAATTCACCACGCTGAAACAAGCACGCACACACATTAGTCCCGAGGATGACAGTGTGTCACACTGAAACACCGAGATACAACTGTGAAATTACCGCACCTGACAAATCCCACTTCTTCACAGCTGATGCTAGCTAGCAGTTCATCAACTGGGGAGGAACACACCTGACGCCACCTCCTGTGAGTGGAGTCGAAGACTCTGAGATGCTGGTCAGGTGAATTTACCTGAACTGTGGGGAGTTATAAGAGCAACTTTTAAAATTACTGGTCCAATAGCACATACTCCTGTAATGTAGTATATAGATATAGATTTTTTTTTTTCTGACGGTATCAATAATTAAAGAATGAAGAAAAAAGAAAGAAAGACATACATTCAAAGCTATCAGTAGACTCACCATCATACTGTTCTATGTCTTCCTCCATTGTGCAATATGTAACTACAAAGTTTAATAAAAACAGCACATCAGTTTAATCTGTTACAGCAAACAATGAAAGCATTTGCATCATCAGACAGAGCACAGAGCACAGAATATCAACTGCTAGAAATATCAACAATAACAGATTATGTTCGTCAACACTTTTGAACCAAATGTGTGTAGGTGTGCGAGAACTGCAGTCTGACCTACGGCCCAAACGGCTGCTCCAATGGCTCCCAAGGTCATCAGCGTTACACATACTCCAATTACCCGACAGGGGGTCAGTACACAGGTCAGAGAAATGCCCCTGCTCCCTGCACACACACATTTGAGGACACACAAACAAGCATACATAAGATAGCAGAGGATAATATAAAAGCATCTTTGCACAGCAACACACTGACAAGCACAAAAGCTCGCATGCTAACATGCTTGTGCAGCACTCCAGCTTTTAACTTTACATAACACACCAACAAATACACTTTGTTGAAAAGGTGATGAAATCTAAAAGAGTAAATAGTGAGCTCAACTAGCTGCGTAGCTGCTGTGTAGTTCATGTTTTTACTTTCCAGCTGCCCTTCAAACCCTCACAGAGATGGCTCAAGCCCCAGTGAGAGCAGACATACAGCACATTCCCTGGCACAAACTGAAAAGTACAAGTGACACTGATTGATCAATAGTCTAAAGTCTAGCATTTCTCCACCAAGCAAGAACAAACTCTTCAACTATGATATAGTGCCAAAGCTGTCCTGAGTGCACGTACTGTCTGTTTGTGTTGCACCTGCACTGGGGTGTCGCTCTCAGTGTTTCCCCTCCTGTCTGCTTTTCTCTGCTGTGAGAACAGCTTGTCAACTTGACCTTGAGTAATTACTCATTTTTCATTGCACACATGTGATGGACTGAAAACCTAACAGTATTACAGCATTTTAGTATGCCAGTCTCAAGTTCCTGGTATTGTGTCGGGTTGCTCACTGTCATGATCTACAACCATTTGGTCTGCAGTTTGTTGTAACAGTTTCATAAGTCCTGTTCTTGCTTTGACAAGTTTGTTAAACTTCACTCAAATAATAATAAAGAAACTCGTTACGATAACTGTCAGTCTGCCGTGCAATCCCTTATAGTGAATTATATGTCTCCCCCTGTCTCTTCCCACTACCAACCATTTACACAATCTTCATCAAGGTTATAACTACAGCACATCTAAAATCAGATGACTTGCAGCTTCAAATCTTTACTACTGTACTTCCACTTCTCCTCCTCCTTCATGTCCTTGGCATCCACAGTGATACAAGTATAAATAAAATACCCAACCACACTGACTATATCAACTTCTATTTCACTGATATACTTAAGCACACCAGCATTAGTATAGTTATTAACTGATTGGCCATGATGAAACTTATGGAAATACTAAACTGTAATATGTCAAGTGGCTACTTGTGTACACAAGTGCTTCACAATTTGACAAGTCATTTACTGTACTGTAGCATCTTTACCTTATAGTGTAAAGAACAGCAACAACAACTCAAACATATTTATTGCCATTTTAGCCAAATAGTTCAATCTTTGTCTCGTCTGATCATAACATGTTTGTCCAGAAAGCATTTGGCTACAAATTTCGAGCTTGAAGATGTCAATTTTAGAAAAGGGACTTCCTTCTTGCTCAGCTCCGACTGACAAAGTGATGACATATCAGAATAACTTGTACTTACATGCAATTGCTTAAACTGAAGATCCTGTACTCTTGATCCTGTAGAAATGGCCCATTAAGTGTCTGGAATGAACTTCCAGATTTTAGTCCTATTGAAAATCTGTGTTCTGTGTTTAAAAGCCAGGTCAATGCCAGGAAACCAACCAACTCTTCTGCTGTGAAGAGTGGTCACATATCCAGCCAGAATTATGCCAAAGCTTGTTTATGATTGTAAAAAACATCTGGTCAAGGTGAACGCTGCTAATAGACATTTAATCAATATTAGTTGGAGTCTGTGTAACTCCAAATAAATTCAAACTTGTGCACTCAATTATTGTTTTTTAAGTCATTAAAGATGCATGCTGTACAATCGTTCCACTTTTAAAAGAGAACAGTTCATAACAAAGCCCAGAAATTACCATGACATTCCCTAAACATGATAACCATTTCAAGATGTCTGAGTAATGAGTGCACTTTCAACAATATGTCTCATTTTTCTGCATATTTTTAGTCTTTACATGTCTTTACACATCACCCTGGCTCCTTTGCTTGACTACCTTACTTTGATGTAGTATGGCAGATGATGGATAAACCTAATGATACTTCAGAACACTAGTTTGGATAAATTAACAGTTTAGACAATCTGTCTTATGATGTGACTCATTCTTAATAACAGTGAACAGTATGAAAATTATGCCTGTGTCCTCTGCAATTTTCAAACTGCAAATCCATCAAAGGACCCTTTGGTGGGCGGTTCTGACCTCCAGAGTTCATGCCTGACATCTGTGGCTCAGACACATTGAGTTGGCCTAGACATGTAACTGAAACAAACATGATCAGGTCATTTTAAAGGGTTCTTAAATGGTTTTCGTATTAGATCTCCTCCCCATCAGCCCTCCTGCACCACAGGTACTGACTTTATGTGGATTTTCTGTCCAGTATGTGATCAGCAGAAGTGTAACAGCAAAATTAAAAAAAAAAATCTTTTGCAATTGCATTAAAAAGAAAATATAGTGAGACTCTTCGATTCCACAGTTGCTGAATTTTTATGTTGTTATCAAGAAACGTGATAGTTGTGTAGACTTGCTGATCCAGGGACCTTAACCTTCTACTCTGCTAACTCCTCACACTGCACAACATAACATCTCCCTGACAGTGGCGGTCCTAGCCTGTTTGGCGCCCTGGGCGAACACTCCCTTGTCCATCTTCCATTGGTTTTAATTTTGCACTCCAGTATGAACACCCATCCCCCAACCCTTCACACTTCAGCAGCGAGCAGGCACACCGAGGGCTCTCGCACTCACTTTTTGCGTATAGAATTTCGTCGGTGCAAATTATAAGTCTGTATCATAATGTCTGGTGTTTTCGTGTTTGTTGTTTTGTTTTTATTTTGTTTTATTTTGCGAGATGGTTATTAGATGCTGCTCCAACCAGCCAGTGAACCTCTCCTCCCTGTGTTGCAAGCAGCAGGCGCACCTCGCAAACGGAGGGCTCCCTTACTCCCAGCAAATGGGCGATAGAAAACCGATCGGTGCCTATGCCATTCCCAATATGCGCTGGCATGACGTCGGGGCAGCATGAGTACGAGCAATTTTATTATTTTTTGGCCGATGCCCGTGATGTCGCCCCGGGCAACCGCCCGTGTCGCCCGTACCAAAAACCACTACTGCTCCCTGACTAACTCTACCTGTACACAGATCCCTGAAAACTCCCTACGTCTTTCTTGCCTCCTCCCTCTCTTCTCTTTGTACCTTTTTCTTCTCCTCCTCCCATTCCATACCTGTCCTCTCCTCCACCTCTCCTGTCCTCAGGCTTCCCATCCAGCTAAATAATGGTGTTATTGTTCTTTGAAACTGTGAGTAACAGCTGTGACCCAAAGGTCAGAAGGAGATGGTGAAGATACAAACAGAGGTATAGAGATGTATGATTAAGCTTAACGACTCATGTTTGCTCTTTCACATTTTCTTTCCACCATACCTCAGCTCTAACAAAAATATGCCAAAAAGCTATTTTTGGCTGTTCTCTTTTCACAAAGAAATGTTGTTGGTTTTTACATTTGATGTCCTTCTTGGCACAACCCCACAGGGATTTCTGGATAGAGCCACTACACTACTGCTGCTTTAATACACTGCAGCCCTAAACATTGATAGACATCCAACGGAGACGTGAGACCAAAAAATGTCTAACTCAGTCAGGTCAGACATTAAAGGAGGTATACCCCTCCATCTTCCTATTACAAACTCCATGTGATGGCCAGCTGAGCCCACTCAAGAAACAAGAGTAACTGTCTAGAGAATTCACAGCGAACAAGTGGGCATAGTGTTTCCTGCCACCTGCACACTCCAGCCATCAACACCCACACAAAAATCTAATGTGTTTGAAGAAATGACAAAGCATCATATAGACTTGTAGTGTAGCTACATGTGATCATATTCTACATGTGAATAAAGGTCCCTTTCTAACTGTTTCTCTCTCCAGTATACCCAGTGTACATGTGAAACATCTCTAGACTGGTGCCACTCACCCTTCTTGTTCCTCATATTGGCCGTTCCTTCTTTTTTCCAGCTATACTCCCCCACATGCCATTTTCCTAATCACAAAGCAGGCCAGAACAAGCTCTCTATTGTATCTACCTCTACCTGAGACCCACTTTTCTCTTGTGTGTGTGGGTATACATGTCAATGTGTGTATTATGAGGCAGGGCTTTCTGAAATCTCTGTGGTCTTATTGTCGATGATTGGATTAAAATAGTTAATGTTCCTATAAAGCACTGAGTGTAGTCCATATGAATGATATTAGGAATATACGCTACCCTGAAAGAACGCACTAGCAAATCCTGTTCATCTAACTTGACAGCTAACCAAAACATAAAAGCTACTAACAAAAGTTTTTACAAGATACAAGGTCTGAGCCCTGAGCTCTTGCTAACAACAAGCTTAGTCAACAAAAACATTTTAGTTAGTGCGTATTAGCAACATCACTGTTTTGGTGTAATTTTACCATGAAGTCCAAATTTAGAGCTGCTACGAAGTGTGTCTGGATAGATTGTTGCCATGGTTTGTTGTCTTTATGGTAAATAAGGGTAAGAATGAATCATAATATAGTACGTGACCAATCCACAGAGACGTGCAGATCATCCACAAACTCTTTTATAGTTTCCAATGTCTGTTCT